GAGCGCAGCACCTGGCGCGCGTGCGCGCGGGCTCGGCTCCCTCGCGGCTGGTGGGAGGAGGCTGCACACGCTCGCGGCCCGCCAGGAGGCGCACGGGGCCGGGCCTTGGAAGTGCGGGCGATGCGTCCCCAATCCAGCTCCATCCAGTGCCCGCGGCCCCCATTGGGGCAGGCATTTGCACCCCAATTAGCCCATGCATGGGCGTAGGCAGGGCACAGTCCCGGGCAGCAGTAGTGGTTCTACGCCTGATGCTTTTGAGAGCCCTAAAGTTTTGCAATTCTTTTTTTTTGTTTGGGGGGGAGGTTTTTGCAAGGGTCAAACTGGTTCTCCCACCCCTGGGGTTGGATGCTGTCCATGCAGCCACTACCCTTGCAGTGAAATGCTGCTGCTGCAGTTCCCAGCAAGCGCCACCCGCTTTGGGATCAAATTAGTCAGCTTGCCATGCATCTCTTTCGTGATGTATTTTACCTGCCCTAGGCAAACCTCGCATCGGGAACTTCATTGATCCATAAGCAGTAGCTTCCTTTCTTTTCTCTCTTGCTCCACTCACCGTCATTTGACCCAATGAAGAATGCCCTGCAGTCGAAAGCTTGTCTAACTCTATCCCAACGACGTTGCTGGTCCAATAAAAGAGATTGCCCAAAGAAATCCTGACCTTACTGTTTAACAGAATATAATTGTCAGGTTATATTGTGGCCTAATAGATCTCACCCTTTCCCTTAGCATTGTAGAGGCCCCTTTATGAGCAGTCATCAGCACCATGGTGACAATTTTTGATCTGACTCATGTATTTTGTTTTCCGGCACAATAATTTGCAAATTCCTAGCTTGGAAAAACTAGCCCCATTAGCAAAGCTACCACTGATTACAGTAGGGCCAGGTTTTCAACCTATGGATTTCAGGGAGCGTCGTCATTCACCTGCATGTGGTCCTGGTACATGGAGAAATCAAACCAATATTGCTGGAGCAAGCTGTCTGTTTCTGCTGAAACCGTGTCAGAGCTGAAGCCCTGTAGCTTTAGAGAAAGGCCTGGCATTTCTCTAGTGAGATCAAACCTATTGAAAGCAGTGCCCTTTTAGTTCTAGCAGCTGAATCCCAACTTGTTAGCCGCTGTAGCTCTGCTTCTCCCTGTAGATAATGGTGCTTTAGGAATGGGTAGTGTTTAGCAGCCAGATTTATTGTTATTTGTATTGCAGCAATGCACCAATCATGGATTAGGGCTATGCTGTGGTAGGTGCTGCACAAAGAACAAAAACAATCGCTGTCCCAGGCAGCTTACAGACTTTTAATTGCTTATTATTATAATGCAAAAGGTCTAAGTTAGTATGTTTTCTGTCCTAATAGGCTATATCCTAATGTTTTTATTTTAAAATTTCGGAGCCAAACCATGCTCTTTGTTGATATGACAGTGAAGAATCTGCGTGCCCCATTGTTATATTAATATTTATTTGGTGTTAGTGCTCAAAGACCTCCATTGGGTTAGAGGCCCCACTGTGCAAACAAAGTGAATGCAAGCTTTTTCTGGGCAGAAACTGCCAATCTAAAATCATGCGGCGCTTCCAACAGTGGCAATGTGCTTGCAGGTCACAAAATCTATCCAAATATAGAACCCAAATGCTCTACTGCCCTGGGAGTCTGTAACACCATGACAAAATCTGCCGTTCCCTGTGTACGCAAATAAACGGTGAGGTAGACCATACAAAGCTCGTAGATTCTTCTCTCCCACTCCCATCTAAAGCAGGCATATTGCATAGCTGCCGAATATGCACCACAAATGCTCGGGTAGCTCAGTGGTCCACCTAGCTTATCACCTAATACAAGTGCCTGTCATCTGACTGGAGAATGGGAATAAAGGAGGCTTATATTTGAAAAGAGCATCTGTATAATATATGGCTATGCATGCCCAGAAAGCTGACTTCCCTTTAGAGGTATCATACAGCACTCAGGGTTTTTCTATGACCATAGTCTCTTTTTTAGCTTGAACCCGACTCTTTTTGATTGGTTCCCTGACACACACATACAGCATCTGCTGTTACAGGATATGAGTGATACAACAAAGCCCTAAAGAAAATAAAAAGAACAGACTGTTGAGGCCTATTTAACATAATGTGCAACTGCTGGAGCTAACACGTGGCTTATAATCTGCTACATAATACCGCACTAAGTTTTATTTATTTTATTTATTTATTTGAAAACAACAAAAGAAATGATTGCCACAGTGCTGCATATTTCTCCAAAAGAAAGCTGGGGCTGCTGGTTGGGGATCTCCAAGCTATATCACAGTCCTGCTTTAGGGAAGAATTCGCTCATGGGACTGATTTCTAATATTTTACAACAGGATATTTCACTGCTCAGAGCAGCAGGGTGGCAGAGGACTTCTGTCACCTGAGATGTGCGCAAGCTCAGCCAAGAACCAAAAACTGTGTGGTGCCAGTTATCAGTCTCACCGTTGTGTAACACGGATGTTCAGAGTTCTGGTAACACCGGTCAAACTTTCTATCAGCAGACAGTTACTGTAAATCTTACATGCATGCACTCCATTGTTAGATTTTTTAGAAGTAGTATATGTCAATGCTTATGAAGAGCGACAGTCTAAATATTAATAACCATATCCTTAGATCAGGTACAATTATGATGCAGGGAGCTGTAGTGACAGCCTCCCTATGCCTAAAAGTTTGAACCCGCTTAGGGCTAGGTTTTAGTTATGATCAGGTAGTTGGATTTGCCTGCTGCTAGAGATCAAAATGAATCCTCTCTTCCTCCAAGTTGAAAGGTCTGGTCTTTTCATGTCCTCTTTTCAACCATAGTCAAAGGAGAGATGAGAAAGGTAGGGGATCAGTGCAACAGCCTGTCACTTCTGGATGTCTGACCTCTAATTCTGTCTTAGTTTTCAAGTAACAATCAGTTTGCAAGTAAGAATTGGTCCATCCCAATTCCATTTGTCTTTGTCCTTAACATACAACATAGTTGGCGCTAAGTCTATGGAAAAACCTCTGAAAGAACCCTGCATCTCATTCAGAACTGTTATATGCAAACTTCACATATGATAAGTGCAGAAAGGACTGCCGTTCAAGGACTGGGCTAAGGAGCCACACTCACACACGTTCAATGAACTGACGCCTCACTTGGCACAAACCTATTGTCTCATGAGACAGACAGATGCCTATTATTATTAGTTCTCAGTCTATGCCCTGGATAATCTCTGGAATTAAACAGAAGGGATACGACCCAAAAGAACAAGGCAGCAAGGAGAGAATTGTGAGATTAAAGCTAGTAGTTGGGAGAAAAAAAAAAAAAAACTAATTGTGGAAAATAAAGAAAGCAATAGGCCAAAAATTTTTCCAAAAGGAAAGAAATATCCCTTTTCCTTCTCCGTAACCTATTCTAGAGTTCGTGAATGTCACTTCCTTCAATAAACTTTGCCTCAATCCCTAAAAGAGCAATTGAAAAATGAATTTGGGGATGAATCATAACAAATTATTACAAGATACAGTAATGAAAGATACCACCTTTCACTGTTATTGGTGATTACAGGTTTCCCTTGCTTTATGGGGGT